CATCTGTCTGACTTTACCCCAGTTTCTCATGGGTGGAGTGGAACAAGTGATGGTTTTACACCCACACACACTTGTTTGCCAGCTAAACCATCTATTGTGGGGGTCACAACAGCTTGTATATCACTTAGACCTTCAAAGAGGGCTGACATTAATAGGCTCACCTTTTGACCTCAAAGTGAATGACCAAATTCCTGTCATTGCACATAAAGAAAAGAGTAAAGCCATTTGAAGTGAAAGGGAGCCAAGCTTTCGCAGCAAACAACGTATATTTCCCCCTCGCTGAACTCTTTTGAGCATTTGTAATCTTTCTAGTGCACATCCGTGAAAGACCCTGGGCGATCTGATATTGCTCATCATAGCAATTTAGAGAGTGTTGGCAAAACTTACAAATTAAAAACGCCACTCAAACATGGCTTTCACAGTCAATGGGATAATCAAAACACGCAAGGGGGGGGGGGATATCACAAGATGTTCTTCTTCTCTCTCTTGATTGAACCACTTCAAACACGATTCCTCCAGCCAGGAAAATAATCCTGATCTTTTACATGAACCACAGGATCATCTCTACACAAATCAGGCAAGACTTTGTGATCAAAGAGCAGAACGCACAGAATCAGCTGTCGTTCTCTGCGAAAAGAGGACTCGTGGGTAACAAGGCCAACTGGGTATTTGTTCCATTCTGTGACATTCTGGTTAGTAAAATATTAAGCCGACCTAAAAATCAGAATTGACCCTATTCATTTTTCGCTCTATTCATAGTTTGTCTAATTGTGAACATTTCATCTGCACACATTATTTCAAAGAAAAGAAAAAGCAAGAAATAAATGAATTGATGGACTGATATTACAAATCATTCTTATTTTTGAAGAAAAACAAGCTAACACACTAGAAAAGGAAATGATGATTGGATCAGTCAATCAACATTTCAGCACTCCAACTGAACTCCAACTGATCTAAAATATAGGCCTATATATATTACATATTTTGGTAACGCTTCATTCTACAGTCCTGTTACCCATGTACTTACTATGTACTTATTACAGTAATTATAATTACTGGTTAATAACTAGGTACTAACCCTGAACCTACCCCTAAACCTACCCCTAACCCATGTACTTACCTTATCTTAGCCAGTACTTTCTAGGTAAGTACACTGTAAGTACACGTAAGTACTTTACTGTAAAAGGAAGCGTCACCCATATTTTATATAACGTCGTAGCACTTTATTTTACAGTCCTGTTCCCCATGTACATAAGATGTACTTATTATACTAATTACAATCACTGGGTAATAACTAGGTACTAACCTCGAACCTACTCCTAAACCCAAAATTAACGCCTTATATACCCAATTCTTTTTTAGGCAAGTATGTACACACAAGTACACATACTGTAAAATAACATGAAACCCAAATTTCACTGATAGAGCACCTTTCATATTGTACATGCAGTAGCTGAAAGTGCTTAAGAAACAGGTGAAAAGCATTTTGGGCATTCAGCCATTTTCTACCCCAGATTAACTCGACTGATTCCGACACGTACACGCAAACCACTTTCCTAGGTAGTTCACCTTGAAACAGCCCTCTTAGTAAAATTGATGTTTGTGGTGGGCTCAAATAATTAAGGTATAGATTAGAGCTCCTCCGTGAAATACTCCTTAAATCGAGCAAAACTATGATGAATGCTTTTTTTTTTTTTTTTGAAGCTTTTAAAAGTTTTCCATTCCGTTAATGGAAAAAAAAGTATCGCTAAAAAAGGTATCACAGGAGGAAATGACGATTTACGGGTCAGTGATGGTTTGCCAAACACTGGACGTTAGGAGAAATTATCCATCTAGCATCTGTTTTACTCTATAGGGAGAGCTATAAGTCATGTAATCACTATCAAACAGCACAGCCCGTTCCTTTACTCTTCTTTCATCCTTTGCATTGCTGAATGAATTTTAGCCACAAAGAAGAGTTGTGTTTTTATATGAACAAGGAGAATTAACAGCACAGGTATGTTGTTTCACACCCCAACATGTGTTGTTGAAATTCACTGTACACTCTTTATGACAGAAAGCAGGAATTGTATGTGTTCCTTGAGGAAAACCATCCCGGTAAAATGGAAGAGCCGTATGAATGAACTAAAAGGGATAGGCCTAGTTCATTAAAAAATGATCATTCTGTCATCATTTACTCAACCTCATGTCATTTCAAACCTGCATAAAATCATACAGGTTTGGAATGACATGGGTTAGTAGATTTTTACTTTTTTTCATTCTGATCATTCTGCGGAACACAAAAGAAACATATTTTTGAAGAATGTCGGTATCCAAACACGGTTGACCACCACTGACAATTTCACAAAAAGAAAGAAATTCATAAAAACCTGGGAGGTTAAGAAAGCATCAATCTATTGATTCATCTAGCCTAGCGTCGAGCCATTTCAGACATTACCAATAGATCAGAACACCCGAGAGATTCCTCAGGCCGCATTACAACCAACAAGCTGCAAATTGCCCTATTAATAGATTACCCTGGCGGGTTCCAACTTGGCAAAAAAAGGGGGCGTGAATCTCAGAGCAGATAACATTGTAAATTACGACACTTCAGCCCATGCTTTTCAATGGGAGAGCCTTGGGCGTCAAATAACAGCAAGCAGAACCACATCCATATAATTCATTATGCTTCATTATTTGCTCGGCTTCACAGCACCGCTAAGTATTCAAGCTGTACGTGTAGCTGCACGTGAAGTAACCGGCTCTGACATGAACATGTTCACGTAGATCTGATTTATGCTGAGTGATTGCTTTGCTTCAGAAAGAGAAACAATAACCAGATGTCTTCTAAGACCCCCCATTCCAGCTGTTAATTGCATGGCAAGTGTCTAGTAAACACAGAACGGAGGTGAACAAAGAGGGATGTGTTCACTACGCCCGGGTTGTGTATATCATTAGATTTCCAAGGTGTCTTGTCAACAGAGCATGCTTGGGTTTGCTTTCTCAAGGATCTTGTCTGAACGGATCTTTGCAACTTTTCTATGCTCTCATAACCTCTCCCACCATTTTTATTATATCTTGTGACTTTGAAGTCTTAAATGATACCCTGGAAAAAAAAAAATAGTTCTATGCATATCATTACTGTCAAGAAAGTTAAATATTTTGCTCCATTAAGTTACCAGTCCTTGCTAATGGTGAGAAACGCAAGCTAATTAATTCTTCAGTCATCCCTTACCCACAAGAACAAATGCTCAAAATGCTGACTCTTATTACAGTGCGCCACCATCGACAATTTTACTTCTAGTTCCTGCATCATCTTGCCACACGAGTCATTTGGTTTTATTACATCACATGACAAAAAAAAAACGTCTACAGGAACTCAATCTGAAAGCAGCCTTACAGGCACACAAGCATTTGGCCACCGTGTGATTCAAACAAGACTGTTCCGTTTCTGGAGTCACGCCAAAAGCAACATGTTCAAGCTATTTGAGCGAAGATATTTGCAACTGTGCAAGGTGCCATTTATTACATGAAGCTTAGCGATAAAATCAACTCCTTATGGTTAGATCTAGGCATTCTTTGAGTCTTGCAAAACTATTAGTGAAGCATTATATCACTACAAAGAGCAGCAGAATATTCTTAATAAAGGATGCAGGGATGTCTTCATCACATAAGAGTGGAAAAGCGAGATGATAAGGGAAAGAATCACCAAATGAAAGGAGGTGAAAGGGTTATTATCACATAAGCCTTTCACTCAGTTGACCCTGAACAGCTGTTTTGACTGGCTAAGCTTCTTCTACAGAGCCACTAGGGGCAGGCCGGAAAAGCGCTCTAAGACCAACCAATATATCAGACAGTTTGTTTACAACATTAGAGGTCAGCAGTGCAGTATTGATTTGAAAATATACTCTCAAGAGCAGTTTATTAAAAGACACCCAATGCTGGGCCAATAGTAGTACCAGAGTCTCTGGGGAACGCAAATGAATTGAATACTCTTGCTGATAAGGGAAAGGGATGCTTTTAAAGGGAAACTGTGTGTTTGAATTAAAGGTTATTATGTCATGTCATGTGATCTATTCATTTTACAGGAAGGAAGTTCAGGTACAGAGGATGAAGGACTATGATCTTCACAGAAGGGTCACACCCATATATCACTCACGGACAAAGCAAGTGCTTTAATCTGACAGCCAAAGGAAAGTTAACTAATTCCAACTCATATTTGACAAGAATATAAGCCGTTGCACCTTAGAACATTATGAAGCACAATTAATTGCCAGAACTAACTGCAAAAATATTACAAAAATAATTAAGTCATTGTCACGACTACTCAATTTTTTAAAAGTTCACTTGAGATCGATGCTTCTTTTAAAAGTGTACATTATGGATAAATTATGACAAATAAGAATGCATGAGAGGAAGTCAAAATTGTTTGATACAAATGATGTTTTACCCCCAGGAAAATATTAAAAAACAACTGTTTTTATAACAAAAAAATAGCTTATTTTTACTGTCTGAAGAATGTTACACCAAGAGGTGCGTATATTCATCATTAAATTGTAATGTGAATGATTCATCACTATGGGTTACTTGATCCGTCTCCATCCATGCCACTCATTTGACATCTGGCGTCAAACGATATTGTCGAACAAAGACTAGGCTACTAAATAAATTATCGCTTAGTATGTAAACATGCACATCCTTTATCTCTTAAACTAAAAAAAAACTAACATTTGTGTTCCCTTATATGTCTGCAGCTCTTCAATAACTCACAATTAACAAGCAGAACACATATTCTAGCGCAGCATCAATATCGCCATCTGCCTGTATCTCATGTTTTCATGCGTTCAGTTCGAGTCCATTTATCTTAATTATGGCAACACTGTATCACCAGAGAGGTTTAGTCTAACTTTAAACAGTTATGAACCGCATAGTATTTGAAAGATTCCGGATGGCGGTCTCACTAAATGACAATAGCGCATATTTGACTGACAAACATCCTTCAGTGGAGCTCATGGACTTACCTGGAGCGTTTAACGCGACCAACAGGACAATCCAAAAAGTCGCCAACATTGCCATCGCGCCTCACGCCAAATATCCGATCTGATATTGCGATCTGCAAAGAGCGATCCGTTGATTCATGCAACTTCAACACAATCCACTTCTGTCCACCCCTTCACTATACGACAGAAAGTCAGCTGTTAGTAAAACTGCATTCAATGAAGAGTTTAGCACAGCCAGGAATCTAGATCGCATCCAAACGCCCGTGTAAGAAGCTGATCGAATCGGATTCTGCAGATGAAAAGTCCGCTCGACGAGGCGGATAAGAAGCAGACAAGTTCAGGGATCCCGCATCCCAAGCGTTGAATCCAGTGCGGCTGCTCAACCCCCTCAAAACAGAAGCGCAGTGAACCCTGAATCACGGGGCGTTTAATGCATCCGTTCCGTTTGCTCCACAATACAAGTATGTATAACAAGATTCTGTACTTTGTTTTGCGCCGTGGTAACAAGAATATGTCCTATAAGTCCCAACGGTCCCGGTCTGTTCCCTCAGTTTGGGAGTGTGAGGATTATCAGATTATTTTTGTTGGGTGCTGAAGATGTTTCAACGGACCAGAAATCCGTTCCGAACAAATTTTTTTTTTTTTTTTGAGAAAACGGACTGATTCTCCAGAATATGGCAACAATTCCGTGGTTTGGCGCACTTCGGGCACTGCTGCCACAACCTGAACTGTTCTAGTGTAGCTGATACAAGCGCGAGGAGAGATCCGAATCAGGGTGACGTCAGAAAAGGGCGTGGCTTACACTAGAGTGTAGGAGGATTTAGTTCATTGTTGCCATGTCCGCTTATAATAAGCGTGGTCTACAGTTTTTGTGGGTCTTATTTCCAGATAACAATCACATTTTGGGGTGGTTGCTAGTGCATAGAGATACCCATCTACTAGTTAAGCCACACTCTACATAACATATATTAATCAGTTAGTTTTCCATGTTGTTCCATATTTAGGGGCGACAAACTGACAGCGACTTGCAGAGACAGCAATTTACTGGATAGCCTATCAGTTATTTTCAGTGAGACTTGGAGATTTCCAGTGGCGCGAGCGAAGGGACCATGTTCGCCTTTTCACATTTGGGATTCTCAGAAGCGGAAGTCATCATAGTTGGGTAATCTTAATTTTTGCATTCCCATTTGATCCACTAAAGATAAAATCCACAATATCCTTTCTATGAGTTTCCAAAAGAGGAAAAAATAATAAATAATGAAAGCTTGATAACAGTGGTCAGAAGAGAGAAAGGTTTGCCACTACTCCCCAAAAATTGTCAAAAATATAGATTTTTTGTATCTGAAACGCTTCCAATAGCCCTACTAATTTTCCGCAAGATACATGATATCATCTGCGCTTTCTTGCTCTCTCATCTCTCCGACAACGAGTTATGGACTCTTCTCCCCTCACTCACTCATTCATTTAATTTGCTCCAGATGTATATGGTTGGTTACAGGACTTGAATTTTGACGTGGTTGCTCGTAATGTTACTCCTTTTCACAGATTTTGTGCTCACACCCAAAGTGTGCGTGTGTAAAGCTGCTTATTGCATTTAAACAGTCAAATACACACAAAATACTGTCAAAATGCCAGTTTGATGAATATTCATGTAGGCTAAAAACAGTCAGTTATGTTTTAAGTGAAATGTAACAGTATAATTGATCCGTCGGGTCTTAAAGTGACAGCAGCCTGATAGGTTATACCTGCTGCCAAATTATGAGATAATATTAAAAACATATGGTAGTTTTTACCCATCTTATTGATGTCAAAATTGTGGCCAGTGGAAATGCTAAGTGGCTACTTTGGAAAACCACTAAAAAAAAGTTAAATATGAGCAAAAAAAAGTTAATGTCAAGCCCTTTATATTAACAGATGTTAACCGTGGAAATGCGCCATCGTAGTCTGTGAAAAAGATCCGACAAGCGATGCAACAAGTAGAGCACAACTTTATGTAAATAAGCAGCAACATGATGCACGTAGGCTATTGTGTTTTCTCAGACCAAGTTGCCCGTTTTCCCGAGTGAGATCTGGCAACACTGCTTTAGTCGCCATTGCGCAAAGTTAACTCTGAGGGGAGGATTAAATTCACAGAAACTATAAAAAAAGATATACTTAAAGAGATCTTCTACATGATAAACCGGAGGATATCGACGTGATATTATCATATGTGAGATAAAAGGTTGTCGGGAACAACTTATTTCACCACCAAATGACTATTTTGTGTCTACGACCAGCTACTTTCCTTAACAAGCCAACACTCAAGACTTTGAGGGAATTTGCGGTCGTAACGCTGAGGTTTGGAGTCAGTGCTTTGCTTCACTCGATGCAGCGATTAATATATGACTTTATCATGATTTATTAACAGTTGTAGGCTACCTGTTTCCATTTCATAAATTGATTCCAGGTAGGACAGTCTGTGTGTGACAGAATGTGAGGTGATTGAGTGGAAGCAGTAGAATACTTCCCTCTGCTGGTCACCTTCTTATGACTCAGTGAGTTCCTCCGGGTAAACCATGGGGAATTAGACAGCAGTGTGGAGTTTACCGTTACTGAAATCATGTCTTTACAGACCCTCTGCATCAATTTACTTCACTTGAGGGCAAATGACGTTGAAATGTGTCAGCAACAAGAAAACAAGCAACCTGGTATGAAAAAGACCCATACAAAAAAAGACCCATACAAATGCCTTTCCTAACCAAAAACACAACACAACATCCATAAAGGCCTGTTGCATTCAGCTGTTTATTGATAATGAAGGTAAGAGAATAACTTAACCTTTAAAGGGGCATACTTTTCTCAGTACTTTATTTATTTATTTATTTATTTATTTAATATTTTCCCAGCATTACTACATATCTTTATTTAAAATATATTAACATATACCTCAAGGTCAGTGGGCCTTCTCATAGCCAAGATATTTAGTCAATGCCTGGCAGAGTTTTTATATCAATAGTATTTGCATGGATCATCTCTTCCAATATTTTCCCTGATTTTTTTTACCCACTCACTCACTCACTCACTGTCCCTTTCTGTATCCCCCAGATACAAAAATCATTGAAGTCTTTATTTTTTTTTGATCTGATGTATTGTAGCATACGCATTCATAAAACACTAAACTGGGGCATTTAAATAGTGAGATGCAGGGCAAGGCAGAAACATGTGAGGAAAAGAGAAACAGACTTAACGGATTAATAATAACAAAATATGTGTGGTTTGCACTGCAAGTGAGGAAATTTGACAGAAAGATGTATAGTGGTATGGTGGCCAAGATCCCAGAGAGGACTTTAAAGAGGAAAAAGAGGACTTTACTCTGGAAGCACCCAAAGTCGCTTATAAAAAGCAGACACTGAACACTGAAATCAATCCAAACCCCAAAGGGGCTGGCAAAAAAATGACCAAAATCTTGGTTGCCTACAAGTTCCAAATAAAAAGACAAAATAATCAAATGAAACACAGGTGCATTTTATTTGTAAAATATTTCCTATATTGGAACATCTAAAATATATCCAAACCACGCGGCTGGCAAATAAATGACTAAAATTGTGGTTGCCTCCATCAAGTTCCAAGAGAAAACAAAATTCATCTGTTTCATTGTATTATTTGTAAAATATTTAATTTAATGGATCATCCAAAATCCATTTAAAACCACATAGGGGCTGGCAAATAAATGACCAAAATTGTGGTTGCCTCCAAGTTCCAAATAAAAAAGAGAAAGTAATCAAATGAAACACAGGTGAATTTTAATTGTAAAATATTTAATTTATTGGATCATCCAAAAATATGCATTATAATATGCATATATTTGTTAGTCAGAAATGATCAAGATAGACTCTAAATTATAAAGATAGTTCTAACACTAAATTATGAGTGAATATTCCCTTCACATTTGACGCCGTTGTAAAATAGCCAATATACACGTGCGGCTCCACACATGCGTTGAATTATAAATGAATGCGGCAAGTGGTGACGCTATAAACAACAAACTTTATTTTGTCCTTGTGCCTGACACCTTTCAATAACAAGTTATCTGTCATCTTAGCCTGTTTGGGACACATCGAGCTCTGTATTTTTGCACTATTCATTGTTTCTTTGTCACTATCATGCATGTGTGTAATGTAAAGCAGTCTTGCACACTGATAGCTGCACAAATATATCTACAGCAGTATAAATGATGCAGCAAAATATCTACCGGCTGACACAATTCTACCATCGCACAGTATATATCAATGCACCACCCAGCCCTACTGCCACATTGTCACAATAATCTTGAAATGAAAAAGTGCTAGTAACAGATGCAGTTTTCATGTGATGAATGGAAGTAAATTCTTTAAAAAAAAATGCAATATTGAACTCCGTGATTAATTTAAATGCACGCACAAGATACACTTTCCCATGCGCCGTGGGTGGGAGTTTCTCTCAACAATTTACAAATTGGGATGACTGATTTTATTCATCAAAACATTCATTCTGAAGTGTTGATGGAACAACACTGTTTAGTGTGTAAGATCTGGTGTTTGAGAGGTGTTTTGACTCATAGAGGAACATGTGGAGCCTCCAAAACACAGAAAGCTTGATCTTCTGTTCTCTATATAAATGACCAGGGACACAGGGAAAAAAGGAAGAAAGGGACGTTCTTCTGCACTGAATATGAACCATACATTCCTTCCATTGCACCATTCTCTCACATTTACAAATGACCTATGAAACCCACACATGACCTAAAAGTTTACTCATTGCATGAGAGTTCAACCCTTTACTGTTTGTTTCTACAATAAACAAACACTCTTTCTCCTCCCATTTTTTCTGCCACGAATACAAATGTGAAAGTTTATACACACAAACATGCATTTTGGCCATCCATTGTGGGGCTTCATGAGGTTGTATGTACACACATCTCTAAATATCACGCCCAATGGAGACAAAAACAATCACAAATACACAATATTTATTACGGTTTGTTCCACCCCAATATCAACAAACACAGCTGAGCATCGAAAGATTTTCAGCAGCAGAATGGGATCACATGCACATTTGAGTCTCTTAAATGATGTAATGGTTACTGAACGGGCCACCTTGTCAATATTGTGCGTCACAGAATTACAGAAGGTTTACACCCCGATGAACCTCATTTATAAGAATCGACACTAAGGACCTTTTGGATATTACTTAACTCATGACTGATTTAATGATTATGGAGACAGGCTGCAACCAAATATGCATACTTCCACACTATATAGTTGGCGAAAAAAGTATATCCGAATTCACATTATTCATAAAACAGTGGGCAATAAAGTTGTTTTTTTTTCCCTAAGGCCAGCATTTTTTCCCCCTAATTGTTTTCAATGGGAGCACCAAATATAAAATCAGCAGCAGCGTGAGGAGGAGCTGAGTGTCTATTTCATGCTGAGCGCTGAGTGCTTTATTTTTTTTTTTGGTTGCAGAGTTTAACGTTCAACTCTGGGTAAAATGTAGGCGCTGACTCACTTTTTACCCAGCAGTCCAATCACAGTAGAGTAGGGGCGGGAAAAATATCACACTGACCAACCATCAGTCATCATAATCTCATGAACCCACATAGACCGACGGGTCTCTTCATCCAAAACAAGGACCAGAAAAAGAACCTTACATTGTGTCAACATTTTTATGTGCGGAGCTATGCATTTTCAGAAGAACACCTGCTGTTTTCAGCTTTCTAAAAATGCTTTGGTGG